GGTGCCACGCCCCCACCCCCGCCACGTGACACAGAGCGCTGCTGCGCTTAAAGCGGCGACGACTGGTTGGAAGCTGTGGGGCCCACCAGCTGTCACCGCTCCCAGCTTTGCCCAAGAGGCTCCTCCCACTTCGGGGCAGCAGCCCTGAAGGTCCTACTGAATCCTGCAGAAGTGTGGGGGCGGCCCGAGCCCAAACCCAAGGGGTGCGCGGGGGGCCGGTGCTGTTGCCGCTATTCTCCTGGTCCTGGGGTCCTCTGTGTGCGCCCGCTTCCTTCCCCTGGTGTTCGTGACCTCTCACCGTCCGCCCCAGAGGCCTGCGCCAGACCAGGTTCCCTGCAGACTAGAAAAGCACACGCTTTATTTCGGGAGATTTACTGGGCATCTCTGGGGGTGCTGCTTCTGCTTGCAGACGCGTAGATACAGAGCTACGATGCTGTGAGTACGTGACAAGGGAACCCAGTGTAGGTTCCAAGAGACACATTTGAATGGCTCCAATGTCAGGGGAGAAGTTGCAGTGAGAGAAGCCTGGCACCCTGCTTTTCAGCCGTGCCTCCAGCTTGCTTGGGATGACCTCTCTTCGAGATCAGTGCACAGTCTGGTCGGCTCTACCTTGATGTATCCGCCCTCCCTTTTCCCCTCTTCCCTCCACTCGTTCACTTTACTCACTGCCTTTCTTTTTCTAAAACTGATATTTTAATCCAAGTTTATAGAAAACTTGGCTTTCTATTCATTGATTGTTGCATACTTTCCTCCCTGCCCACCCACCCCGTTTGCTTTTCTCTTTGAAAAAAAAAATTATTTCATTGTTGTACAACCCCCCCCCCCCGTCCACTTTACTATGCCGCTCTTACTCTGTTATCATGCAAATAATCCCTAGTCATATATTCCTTTTTTTTCTATATTTTATTAATTTTCATAAACATTTACAGAGATTTTGGGTTTCCATTCATTCCTTGTTGCACTATTCTCTCTACCCTCCTCCCAGTTTGTTCTTGTCCAAATGCCACAGTGCTTGTCAAAGCCAGTTCTGATTAATCTTCTTTGTCAGTGTGTCCTTTGCCATTCCCTATTACTCCTCCCTGAGAGAGACTTCACCCTGAGTCATAAGGAAAAGGGGATGGCGTATTCTCTTAGCTACTTCCTGCTGAAAAGGGACGCTGTGGGTTTCAGGGTGAAGATCTTCTCTCACTACTCTAAAGGGCCCCTTTGGCAGTAGGAAACACATAGACTATTATGGAGATTGATTTTGGGATTTAGATGCACTCTTATTGATTGTGCTTGGCCGTACATGTTCATATCCTTGTTCCTCATTCTGTTTCAATGCAGTGTACATTATATAGACCCTCTTAGCTTTCCCCAACCCCCGTATCAGTCCTGTTTTATAACAGTGGCACTATGCAGTATTTGTCCTTTTATGATTGAGATAATTTCACTCAGCATAATGTCCTCCAGGGTCACCCATTTTGTATAATATTTCATGAGTTCCTTGTTTTTCAATGCAGCATAGTATTTCATTGTGTGAATATACCAGAGCTTCTCTATCCATTCTTTTGTTGATGGGCACTTGGGTTGTTTCCAGCTCTTTGCTGTTGTGAACAACGCAGCAATAAACATGGGTGTGCAACTCATTGCCTTTCAAGTTGGAACCAATTTGTAGCTAACCTTCAGTTAAGTTTCTGAAGCTGGAAATCGCACAGGAGGAGTTCACCAATTTTGGTGGTGGATTCCAACTACCGGATAGGTGTGGTCTTTGGGTTGGGATAAATCCCAGTGGACTAGGTCGCTAGAGCGCCAGTGACCCATAGACCCTGAGAACAGCAGATGGGAACCTGTGCCATCCTCATGGATCTCTGACATGCGAGCCCATTGTTGCTGTCACTGTGTCGATCCATCTACTTGAAGGTCTTCCTCTCTTTCACTGGCTCTTCCCGTTTACCATTATGATGTCTTTTCCCAGGGACTGGCCAGATTCAATTCAGTCTTTCCTGTTCCCTTGAAATAGGAGTTAGGATTCCAACGAATATTTTGGGGGAGACAAAATTTAACCTGTAAGGACTCTCTCTCTCTCTCTCTCCCTCACTCCCATCTCAAAGGCAAGTGGTTCCAATTCACCAACTGCACTGCTATGAGGGAGATGGTCAGTCTATTCATACACGATTTACAGTCTGAAAATCCACTAGAAGGCCTTTTTTTAGTCTTTTCTGACTAGACAGCACATAACAGCAACAACTAAATTCTAGCTCCAAGAAAAACAGACGTTCAATGTGTAGTTTCCTCCTCCTTGACCCCCTCTTATCCTGGCTCTGGGCGTATCATGACTCAGACAATACAACTTTCCCTCAGGGTGCCTCCATGTCACTGTGTTCATGACTGCTTTACAGCCAATTTATTTAACATGTAGCATTCAAAACATCTTACTCGTGTTTTATTTCTTGTGAAACATGATTAGAATTTATTTCTGTAATGATTGGATGAAAACAGGTCTCCTGGTCTATACTATCAACACCCTGAGGTTAAGAACAGCATCCTTGGGCTCATAGTCTTTCTCTTCATCCTTATACATCATTGCCTGCTTTTTAGCTCCATTTGGAGTCTCAGAGCATTGGGAATTCACTATCTCTAAAGTAACATTCTTGGTCTTTCCCAACAGAAGCCTTGTCAAGAGCTTCTATCTCAGTTCCCCAGCACATCCAGTGGCACAAATCAAGCAGCTAAGCAGCAGCAGTCAACCTTGGCATCTCCCTGGTTCCTTTGCTCAAAGAAACACAGTCACTGACTGAGAATAGAAGTTCAGAGATTGAGGAGGCTCTCAAGGGAACCCAATCTACCCCACAGAAGATGAGAGTTTGAACAGGATCCCTGAAGAGAAGCATCCATGCTATAGGTATATCCATGAATATAGGAAAACAGATTCTCACCACTGGGCCAATTGGCAGCATCATGATAGATGGTAGAGAGACTGAGATTGTTAACAGCTTCAGCTTACTTGGCTCCACAATTAACATTCTTGGTACCAGCTGTCAGGAAATAAAAAGAGGAATTGTTCTGGGAAAATCTGCTGTCAGTGACCTCTCCAGAGTACTGAAAAGCAATGGTGTCAGTCTAGAGACTAAGGTGCACCAACAACATAGGAAAGCATTTTAGGCTTAATCAAACACTTTGAGGGAATGAGGGCTTAGAAGCATCACCTCAGAGAACATCCAGATCAATTGGCATAGCATAGTGTATGAAAAAAATGCTCTACATCATACATTCTTGAGTAATGACCTGGATCTTAGAAGTTTGTGGACACCCATCAAGATTCAATGATTGGCCTCTTCTCATCTGGAATAAAGAAGAATGAAGAAAATCAAAGACAAGAGAAAAATTACTACAGAGGCCAAATGGACCAGAAGAACCATGCCTCTAGCTTGAGATCAGAATCCTGGACAGAGTGAAGGGAAAATACAGAATGAAGTTCAAAATCATAAAAACCCAGAATTTTTGCTATGATAAAGCTTGCTGGAATTCCAAAAGCTGTGGCCTTCCACACTCAGAACTGAAGCCTTTCATCGTTTGCCTCTCATCCAAATAATACATAGTGGTAAGAAGCTGCACTTCAATAACAAAGACCCACAGTTTGAATCCACCAGCTGCTCCTCTGAAGAAGGCTGGGTAATCTGTGGGATTTACTGCCTCTAAAAACCTGCTAGAGGGTCAGCCATGGGTCAGCTCTGACTCAACAGTAAACAACAACAACATACCTGTGAGGAACATACTCCTCAGAACCATCAGTCACACAAGACGAAAAGAGTAGCATTTACAAAAACACCGTGGGATATCATCTCACCCCAGTCAGAATAGCAAAATTCAACAGAGCAGCAAACAACAAATGCTGGCGAGATTGTAGAGAAACTGAATCCCTTATTCACTGTTGGAGGGAGTGTAAAATTATGCAACCACTATGGAAGGCAGTATGGCACTTTCTCATAAAGTTGTAAATAGAAATACCATTTGACCCAGCAATTCCTCTACTGGAAATACACCCTAAAGAAATAAAAACTGCCACCCAAACACATATATGTACACCTATGTTTATTGCTGTGCTGTTAACAATAGCAAAGAGATAGAAACAACCCAAGTTAGGGAGGAGGAAATTGTGCAACAATGAAAGAATTATTTTTCAAAGAGAAAAACAAATTGGGGGGGGGAGGAAAATGTGCAACAATGAATAAATGGAAACGCAAGTTCTCTATAAACTTTCATTAAAATCTCAATTAAAATGAAAAAAAATACCTTTTAAAAAAAAAGTAGCATTTAACCAAAAACGAAGTTCAGAGGGCACAAAAGAAGGGAAAATAGAAACAGGGAGGGATCCCATGAAGAAAGAAGAAAGAGTACTATTTACTGAGGGGATTGCAATTAATATAATGAAACAAAATGTGTGTGTGTGTGTGTGTGTGTGTGTGTGTGTGTGTGTGTGTATTTAAAGAGGAGATTAATATACTCTGTTAACTTTTACCTAAACCACAATAAAATGCTAAACAAAACAAAATGGCAATTTTGTTTGATGCTTCCCTGAAAGTTAAGCCCCCTACATTGAAAGGCACTGCAAATAACCTACATACCAAAGATTGTGGAGGTATTATGGGGGAGGTAGCTGAGTTGGCAGCTCCAGAGGCACCATAAATGGCAGGCCAAAATGAAAATGAGGTGCAAATTTTCTTGTATGGTACCATCTTTACATTCCTACTAGCTATGCCCTGATAGTACATCTATTATCAAGCCTTTGTTACCTCAGCAGACACTTCCATCCTTATTGAGACTATCTGTGTAACAGATAAATTTTCTGCTG